GTTCTCCAACGCGTGATTAGAGCACATTCTTGAAATTATACATCGGTGTGACCAGAACAATGATGCAGATAAAAAGTTGTTTACGGACATGCTTCGGTGGTATATTCACTTTCGTCAAACTCTACTTGCCATGATACCGAAGCTATTCAAGACTGTGAAGTCATCTGCTCCAACTCAACCAAAGTAGTCTCTCGCCTCAATTGGCGCAAAGGGGGAGATTGTTGGGTTTAAAGGATTGCGCCATTGGGCCTTAGCAGTTCGGTCCATTATGTACTCTCGGTTTGGGCCTTTCCAACCGTGCTTATCTTTCTAGGGTTTAGTATATAAGGTGCATGCATGCATCCTTGTCATTAACGCTTTTGATTATTATCTCATTGATTGTACTGTAAACCCCAACACACCTCTAAAGAGGAAGTTCTTAATCGAGCTCTTCTGAGGTGTGACTATATTTTAATCATTCGACATATGGATTGATTCATTGTGTGTTCTTGTGTTCGTTATTCTTATTGATTTACCTGTTAAAGATATAATCGGTCTTAAGAGTTTTCTACTCATCAGTATATTTTAGGGTAGGGGCGGGGGATGCAACCACGTTCCGTTTGGTCCCGCTGACATCCCTAGATGGGTTGACCCAATATGTACTTGTGGGCCAAACCAAAAAAACATTATTATTGGATCACCACTTCGAAACTGTGGATAACATTATCACATTGGTTTTTAGTTTGGATAAAGCATAGAGGTCATTTTAGTGTTTGTAACTGAGCATACTGGATTTGCTTTTCGTTTAACATTATGTAATTGTTTTTTCATGCCTGCCTTGTGCTTGATTTGTAACAACCCGATATTTTAAGTCAATGTAATGACCTAAAGTTAAATATTGTAACCTACTTTTGAGATAATAAAAATAGCGTCAAAAATGAAATGTTCAAAAATCTCAATTTGGATGTACTAAGTGGTAGATATCGTAACAAGGTTTTCAAAAATATAAAGAACACTAAAATCCGAGTTATAACGAAGGAGTTATGACCAATCGAAGATCCGCAACAAAACCTGTAAAACACTGTTAAGCATAAAACGCGAAATGTCAATAAAATACTTTTTAGCCGTAGGTATCCAAATGAAAGTCGTAGATATCATTAAACCATAAACGTACATAAAAAGAATGTCCAAATCTGACTTCGTATGAGGAAGTTATGATTTTTCTAAGTTTCGGATATAGTAGTAGACAGCTAAAAACTCGAAATAGAGATCGAGCGACTTTTAGCCGATGCAACCTTAACAAGAATCGAATATCTCGACAATAGTAGTGCAATGGTAAAAAGACAGACAAAAACGGACGTCAGATGAAAAAGTTGTGGATTTTTAACAGACTTTTCTAGTCCCGGCCTGTTAAAAATATAATATTAAAAATAAAATCAAAATTAGCCGACGGAGTCTAAACGAAAGTTGTAAAGCATAATCTCATCTACGCGTGGATATAAAGAACGTCAAAATCGAAACTCGTATGCGAGATATATGAATTTCTGAAGTTCGGGACATGAAACCCCACACTGTCAGAAAACTCACAACGTGAGCCAGAAGCTCACGACGTGAGCTAGTGCCTGATGTGTGCCAGAGTCGGGCTATCAGACGTAGAGTCTACGGAAGGGATAAGAACCAAAGTCACGACGTGAACAACTTCATGTTCATGACGTGAACTCAAAAAAATGCACCCTATAAATAGAAACTGAGGGCTTCGGTTTTGGCTGCTCAATTCTATCATACCTCCTACTTTTTACTCTGTGTTAAGCATCCCAAGACTACCCCAACGCCCCGGTTACGTGTCCAAGCCCTGACGAAAGCCGAAGTCCCGAAGTTTCCGAGAAACTTGCTTCTTTCCAGTCGAAGTGCTGCCCGATTTTAACATCGTCTTCATCAACCCGTCACTCCTACCAAGTGAGTTCATACCCCTTCCACTACACTTTTAAATGCTTTTTAAACACTTTAAGGGGGGAATACAAGTAAACACACGGTTAAAATCGTGTGAAAACATCAATCTTTTACTATAAACTCCTTGATGTTGTTATAACTATCATACGAAAATGTTAGCATGCAAAACATCTTACGATACCAGTTTACCCTCTCGGGATGAAATATATTTGTAAATAAAAACATGCTTTATTTATATGTTTGCATAATACATCTTGACAAGGGTAACCATTTCAACTATAACATTTCTTATATATATAAGAAACTACAAATCATTGTTATGCCTTTATCAACATAGTAAAAAGGGTAATCATTTCGGACATAAACACATTCATTTCAAAAATACGTGACTTAATTGAGAATATGTAAGTCATTCGTCTTCATTGTACCTATCAAGGTATACAAGGAAGCCCTGTTTTATAACCAAAGTCTCCGTCCGGAGAACGTGATAAGTGTGTATAGATCTATACGAGACTGATGATCCCGCACCCTGGCTGTTAGCTACATCCGGACCGGCAGGTTAAGGGTGACAAGTGTCATAACATTTCGACGCTTGAAGAACGTCGGTACAAGCAAATCCATCATAGTACAGCTATGAAAACTCACAGGATAGACAATTATTATGGTATTATGTTCTTATGGGAAAATTAATATTACAGTTATTTTTATGTGAAAATACAAGCTTCCTATAGTTTTGTTCACTAATAAAACTATACATCATCATTTTAAGCATGACATATTTACTTACAAGTTACAGTCTTGGGCATTTAAGACTACTTCTCACTTATAGTAAAATATAGGATTTTCCTGGTTCAATACATTCCTTTCATACAAACAACGATTCATAACTCATTTTATAAGAAAATATCGGATTTTATGGAAAATAAACGTGAACTTTCGAATGGCATACATTTACACAAATAACTACTTATAAACTCAACAACTTAATTGTTGACACTTTTTCTTTGAAATAACGTGTATTCTTAGGGAATCGCTAAACACCAGGTTAGCAACTACTTTTGGGGACTAATGCTCTGGCGTTAGCAACATCTTTTGGAACATCATATTGTATTTGACTTTTGAAACATGTAATACATCAATCATGTAAACTTTTCAAATATATATTATGGTGGTGTGTACTATCTTTTATATTCAATTGTTATGATACTGTACATGACGTCCTCCGCCCCCGAATGTTTCCGCCGTTCAGGTTTGATTGGCGGTGACTTTAATATAATCCGCCATTTCCAAAAAATTATTATTGGATCACACTTCATGTCTCCTGGACCATTCCTTTCTCATCGAGTACCGTGTCTGAGTAATGAACATTATTATCAGATCAAAATTTCTGTCTGTTGCACCATACTTTTCTCATTGAGTATCGGGTACCACATTTGTTGTGTTTGATTAATGAAAACCTATCACATTCGTGTGCAGTCTACGCAACAAGTGCATCATAACTACCCTTAGTTGTGTGCAGTCTACGCAACAATTGCGTCATAACTACCCTTGGACCTGGCAATTCGTGTATGCGTGTCATGAAAATGAGCTAGAGCGAGATTTTGTATTCATCAAAACATATATTTTGGGGTTGGGGCTGGGGATGCAACCACGTCCCGTTTGGTCCCGCTGACATCCCTAGATGGGTTGACCCAAGATTTACTTGTGGGCGACACCTAAAAAACATTATTATTGGATCAACTCTTCGAAATTGTGGATAACATTATCACTTTGGTTTTTTGTTGGGTAAAGCATAAATGTCATTTTGGTGTTTGTAACTGAGCATACTAGATTTGCTTTTTGTTTAACATTATGTAATTGTTTTTTCCTACATGCCTTGTGCTTGATTGGCGGTGGCTTTAATATAATTTCGCTGTTTCCAAAAAAATATTATTGGATCACACTTCATGTCTTATGCACCATTCCTTTGTCATCGAGTACCGCATCTACGGTGTCTGAGTAATAAGCATTATTATCGGATTAAAATTTCTGTTTGTTGCACCATACTTTTCTCCTTGAGTACCGGGTATCGCATCTGCTATGTTTGAGTAATGAAAACCTATCACAGTTGTGTGCAGTCTACGCAACAATTGCATCATAACTACCCTTAGTTGTGTGCAGTCTACGCAATAATTGCATGATAACTACCCTTGGACCTGACAATTCGTGTATGCGTGTCATAAAAACGAGTTAGAGCGAGATTTTGTATTCATCAAAACGTATATTTTGGGGTAGGGGCGGGGGATGCAACCACGTCTTGTTTGGTCCCACTAACATCCCTAGATGGGTTGACCCAAGATTTACTTGTGGGCCAAACCTAAAAAACATTATTATTGGATCACCTCTTTGAAATTGTGGATAACATGATCACTTTGGTTTTTTGTTGGGTAAAGCATAAAGGTCATTTTGGTGTTTGTAACCGAGCAGAATGGATTTGCTTTCCGTTTAAAATTATGTAATTGTTTTTTCCTGCCTTGTGCTTGATTGGCGGTGGCTTTAATATAATTCCGCCGTTTCCAAATAAATATTATTGGATCACACTTCATGTCTCTTGCACCATTCCTTTCTCATCGAGTACCGCATCTACGGTGTCTGAGTAATGAACATTATTATCGGATCAAAATTTTTGTCTGTTGCACCATACTTTTCTCATTGAGTACCGGGTATCGCATCTGTGATGTTTGAGTAATGAAAACCTATCACAGTTGTGTGCAGTCTACGCAACAATTGCATCATCACTACCCTTAGACCTGACAATTCGTGTATGTGTGTTATGAAAACGTGTCAGCCATGAATTTCACACGATACGAATACATGACTAGAAATAAGCTTTATCATAGTTTTTAAGATGCATTTGTGTTGTTTCGCGTGACTCACAAATTCGTGTATTCGTGTCTCGAATTGTCAGGTCTAACTACCCTGTAGCCAAATCCATAGCCTTAGTTTTCGAAGCGGCAATAAGGTCAAATGGAAAATCACATGCTCCACAACTTAGCATACACAAATTACGATAAATAGAACATCAATTGCAACCACAAATATACATTGCATATCTTTGTAAAATGACATGTATACAAGATGACTATCATATTTTGGCGACCTCAAATACATGAGATGAGTTTCTATAAAAATGGGACTTGCTTTTGCTTTTTTACATAGAATATGATAATCTATCTTTTCATGATATCATCTTTGGTCACAGTAAAATCCCAAAGATCACCATATTTTTCATTGAAGTCCCAAATATCCATCGTGTTGTAGTCCGATATTAACTTGTCTCGAGAACCTTTCTCCATGTTATATATTTGTGGCTCAAAGTTGTACGCTTCACTTGGTTTATCCATTTCAATTATGCAAAATACTACAACGAATATCGCCGCTCCAATGTACAAATATTCTCCCTGTAATATATATTTGTCATAGACTTTTCCATAGTCGATAAAAATAACAAAGGGCATTAACGTCTTTTACATAAATAATAGATTAATATTTGGCAACAATTAGGTTGTTTTAATGGATTTAGAAACTCTTATTAAAAAAGAAAAGTTTAGTGGCAATCTAACCGGAACATTGAGGTTAATCCCAAGAGCGACAGCCGGAAGAAATAGCCATGAAATGAGACCTAAGGAATGCAAAAGGCGATCTATGTTAGTTTTGTATTTATCTATAATGTAGGGACCATTATCGTCAACCTTTTGTAGTTACTTATGCTTTATGTAAATTGGTCAAATTTAATAATAGAATCTGAGCATTAAATTGATCATATATTTCGCAACTTCATCATCAAACATCATTAATCAATAATAGAATCTGAGCATTAAATTGATCAGCGACTTTATTTTATATGGCATCGAATATGAAGAATCAAGCGAAATTAGCGTTTACGAAGAAAACTAAGAATGACAAAAAATGGTCCCTGAACTATGGATAAATACAAAACTAGCTATAAGATGTACCTTGGAAACCAGTGGGAGGGTCGACTGCTGCATAATCTTCTGCTATTGATCCCCAAAATGTTGCTGTAAGTGTAAAATGAGATATAAAGGCACGTAGAAATATATTTTTATTATAAATAACAAATGGTATATATGGAAGAATTATAAAAAAAGAAAAATCTCTATAAGCTAGTTCAAAAGCTACATAGAATCCATCAAAAATAGATCTGAATAAATTTGACAAAAATGATTTCCATTTAACTAAATGGAATGGAATCTCTAAATTCCAATTCCCATTTATGTCTCTCTCAAGATCTACGAACCAAAACACGCTCTTAAACACTTCCAAATGGTATTTAAAGTACACACACGAAACTAAAAGCTTAAGTAATCAAAACAAATTGAAAAGTTATTAATTCACATAAATTTTCTTACATTTGTCATCTCCTTCATTGTATGTGTGGTGTCCATCATACTTTCCATAGACAAAATCATCCTAATCCAACACCAAAATTGATTATTATATGCCATCATATACACAACTAAATATAGAATGATCAAAAGCGAATCCAATATTGTATATTTTCTCTCATCTACATTAATTTCTTTAAATTCTTATCTTTAATTTTGTTCCACAAGTTTTCCTTCAATTTTCTTCATGAAAAAAACAAAAAGAAAGAAATAGTATCCGGAGATTTTCAACAGAAGATGTAAAATCTCATCAGCAAAAATTTAAGTCAATAACTATGTTGACATTGTAAAAAACGCTAAGATAGAAACAGTTAAAAGATAGAAATCCGCCTAATTAAATTCAATTGGGAATCGAGAAATCTTAAGCAGACCAATTCTCAATGGAAGATGAAATTCGAAAAGGAAACATACATCACTAATGCCACTGTTCTCCCACCTATCGACAGGATCTTCATTCAGGTCAGGTTCGATATCAGTTAATCCAGCTGCATTTAATCTGTTTATCCTGTTTCTACCATTACACCGATTGTTGATGCTTCTATACCTGAGACCGAATGAAGTAGAACAAATTGCGTTACTTGAAACCCTAATCCTGTTTGGGGATTGTTCGGAGTTAGCAGCGATTTTGGGGATTGAAGAAATGGATAAAGCAGAGAGTGGTTTTGCTGAAACCCCCGCCATTTTTTGTTTTGGATTCTAATTGTGTGGCTTTTTGGAAATTTTAGTTGTTCACGGGAAGATGATGTTCGAGTGATTGGCAGTGAATGTTTCTTATGTCACTGTCAAGTAATTATGTGCCACGTATATTATCATCGGTTTTTTCTAATTGTATATATTCATAAAAACTAGAGTAAATTACACGAATGGTCCCTCTGGTTTGGGGTATTTGCGCGTTTGGTCCTAACTAATTTTTTTTTTAACTCGGAAGGTCACTATTGTTTGTTTTTTTACGTGATTGGTCCCTACTGTTTGTTTTTGTTACGGGTTTGGAATCTGTCTTACCTAAAAAAACTATAATTTTAATAGGGAAAATGATGGGGAAGGTAACGTAAGATGATGAGGGTGGGGTTGGGGATGCATTTATTTAAATAAATTAAAAAATCAATGGCAAAATAGTCTTTGAAGAATCGATCTTGTAGGCTCTACTGCTCAGACGTGAATCCCCCAATCTACAGGTACATTAGTTTTTATCACATCCTTTCCCTTCAATCCATCATCCCCTTCATCGAACCCTCCACTTCGGCGTACGAAGTTCTCCATCAGCGCCTCCCTTCCAGCCGCAACATCTTAGCTCGATCGGCGATAGCTACCACCACCATTACATTCTCTCCTTATCAGAATCCATCTATCTCTCATCGGCTTCTTCTTTTGTTTGGGATTTTGTCTTCCTCTCGATTTCCCGTTTCGTTTTACTCCACCGACATTGGCAAAAGCTTTCACCAAAACTCACTAATTTCTGTCTTCCGTCTGATCCCCTTTTCCTCTTCACTCACTGGATTTTTTCCGGATTTTATGTCGACTGAAACACTTGGTTGGCTTCCGATGTTCCATTCGTTCTTGCATCCTTCTCTATTTGATTACAGCTCGGAATGAGTAGTGATGGTATTTGGGAGAAAGTGTCTTTTTGAAAGCCAACGACTTTGTGGTCAGCGATTGATTGGAGCATAAAACGGTGAACGACAGAAGATGAACACGTATCGATCTGAGGATCGAACAGAAACAACCTAACTGGAAACGCCGAGGCAATCCCTTAGTCGTGAAAAGTCATCTCTTCCTAATCTCGACATCGCCTTTCAGTTGCGGATGTCGATTTCTGCATCCTTTTACCCTTTTGGTTCAATAATTAGACATGATCCTTTTAATTTTTATTTTTTTTAGTTTCATAGGGTAACGCATTTGTTAGGTTGTAGGTCAAGATGCTAAAGACAAAACTGCACAAATGGTCCCTATGGTTCGCTGAAAATTGCCACTTTGGTTCAAAAAGGTTTGGACAAGCACCAGAGCTCCAAACTTTTCATTTTGTTGCGGCTTTGGTCCATTTTGGTTTTAACTTTTTTATAATGATGAATTTGCCCCTGATATTTACTTTTTTTAATTACTTTTATATTACAATAATTAAAAAAAACAAAAACAATTATTTTTTGAAATAACCACCAGAAAACAAAATTCTTACAATAATCTCTCTCTCTCTCTCTCTCTCTCTCTCTCGGGTTGTGTTTCATAAACACTTAAACTGAAGAACATCTTCTGGGTTCGATCTTCAAAATACATACCCCATAACCATTGATTTTGACAACCATTAGTCACCACCACCATCCTCCACCTCCATCTTCAAGTAGATTTTTTTTGCCACTCAAGAACATCCCTCTCCATCGCCAAATATAAAGCATTTCTCCTTCACCAGTCTCGTCACCAACCCAAAGAACCTTCATAGACGTCGATCGGAAACCCAAAAACTTTGTTGTCGATCTGAAAAACCTCACCTTCACCGCCAACCAGAAAAACCGCACCTTCATCGCCGATCTTAAAAACCATCACACACCTGCAACATACATCAGATTAGGGATAGTTTTTGGTGAGATGAGAAAAAAACCCCGCTGATACGCCATGTCTCCGTCTCCGACCGCTCGTACGCCATGTCTCCATCTCCGGTGACTCTGACGTATGGCACGAGGATTTCTTTGGCGACTCCGGCGTATGGCAACCGATATTGTTGACGTATCTGCCTAGATCGAGTGGTTCCTAGCATCATCTTCATCTTCCCCACTAAGAAACCTTCGACTATAAGTGTTGCAACCACTGTCATGAAACCCTAGCGCAAATGTGAAAACCCTCAAAGGAAAATCCGTTTCTCTCTCCTTCTCTATCTTCCTCAGAAAACCCTAGATCTTTCATATCTTCGTTCTTCTCTATCAATTATGGGTTTGTTCGATCGACGCACAAAAACCCCATCTCTCCATCTCCGATTCCCCGTACTCTTTGTAATCTTCTCATTTGTACCTGAAACCTAAAATTGAAAGGGAAAGGGGGTGATTTTTGAAGTCTTTTAGTCTAAACCAACAGAAACTACACATAGGGGTTGCAAAAAAGCAAAGCATACATGTAGATGATGAACGGTGAATCGATGCATAGAAGGGTGGGATGCAGAACATGCTATGGTGATTAATCATTTTCTTCAAATGAGTGATTTTTTTGTTACGATGAAAGAAAAAAGGAATTGTTCTCTTATGCCACACACACACACACACACACACACACACAGAGATAAATTGCATATTTTATTTATTTATTTTTATTCCTTTATAAAAAAATTATATAAACAAAATAGAAAATGCAATTTTTTCTTTTAAACAGAAAAATATTTAAATAAATAAAAAACTAAAAAAGAAACATGGGCAAAATCGTCATTATGAAAAAGTTCAAAATAAATTGGACCAAACTAACAACAAAATGAAAACTTTGGACCTGTGGTGCTAGTCCAAACTTTTTTGGACCAAAGTGGCAATTTTAAGCAAACCACAGGGACCATTTGTGCAGTTTAGTCGATGCTAAACTGAAAAAAATAATATTTCTTATATTTTGAATTTTTGGCTTGAAGATTGAATATTTTTTAGACAAAACTGCACAAATGGTCCCTGTGGTTTGCTCAAAATTGCCACTTTGGTCCAAAAAGGTTTGGACTAGCACCAGAGGTCCAAAGTTTTCATTTTGTTGCTTGTTTGGTCAAATCTATTTTGATTTTTTTCAAAATGACGGATTTGGCCATGTTAATATGATTTTCTTTTCTTCTTATTTGTTTTTTCTGATTTTATATTTAAAAAAATAAAAATAAAATAAAAATAAATCACTCTCTCTCTCTTATTTGTTTTTATTTTTCTGATTTTAGATTTTAAAAAATAAAATATAAAAATAAAATATCTCTCTCTTTTCTCTCTCTCTCTCTCTCTCTCTCTCTTACATCTTCTCATCCAACATCATCCATCTTCAACCTTCAACAAACCTCATCATCAAAATCACCTTTAATCTCATTCCACCTCACCATAACTTCAACGCCTCCACCAGAAATTTCTAGTTGCAAGAGCCGCTTCGATTCCACACCCACCTATCAACGTCGATTACCTCGAAACAGAATTTAGCGGCCATGACACTTCCTTCACAAACCTCGGAGAAAGTTCACGATAAGAAAAATGAAGGGATTTCATGGTCTCCCACTATTTGGAATCTTTGCAATGTTGGAGGAAGTCCAGACAATTCAGGTGAACACTCAATTCACGATATCTATTTTCCGTTCCTCTGTATGAATGAATTGAAATTGCCCTAATGTTCTTAGGCAGAACTGATTAGTAGCAATATAGAAGACAAAATTAAAATCAAACACATTGTAACTTTGAAAGAAGATGCTATATGCTTAGAGATTGTGATCACGAATTTCAGATCTTCATCACTCTGACGAACGGGATTGATTATCGGTCACTTAGTTGTGAGCATACCGGAAGCATCATACGACATCCGGCTCGAGAGAGCAAATTACTTCGTTAAGCCACAAATTTTCTCAAAATCCAGCATTATTCCTCCTGATATCCAAAAGAATGATTCGCGTCAATTAGGGTTGAAGTGACTGCTATCGGATTGGGGACTCAAGCCCGAATCAGGACTTGAAAGATGAAAAACAACAAAAAATAGGGAAGAAGATGAAGAGATTGAAGGTAAAGAGGATGATAACTACAAGAATTTAATTGAGAAACTAAGCTTGATCTCTCGTTCAATGATTTAAGTTGTGAAATTCCAGATGAAATTTGGGGTATGAAGAAGATGGAAGCGATTAATCTCGAAGGGAGCATGCTCGATTGGAATTTAAACTCCAATTTCAGTGATTTGTGTGTGTGTGTGAGAGAGAGAGAGAGAGAGAGAGATATTTTATTTTTATTTTTTATTTTTTTAAATCTAAAATCAGAAAAATAAAAACAAATAAGAGAGAGAGAGAGAGTGAGATTTATTTTTATTTTATTTTTATTTTTTATTTTTTTAAATATAAAATTAGAAAAACAAATAAGAAAAAAAGAAATCATATTAACAGGGGCAAATCCGTCATTTTGAAAAAAATCAAAATAGATTGGACCAAACAAGCAACAAAATGAAAACTTTGGACCTCTAGTGCTAGTCCAAACATTTTTGGACCAAAGTGACAATTTTGAGCAAACCACAGGGACCATTTGTGCAGTTTTGTCTATTTTTTATGCCTTTTACTTCCTGGGAGATATGGAGGCAGCTATCAAGAACCTTCCTCCATCTGGTGATTGTCACTGAATGGCATAATCACCCATATGTTCTTTTTGATTTAAATCTATTTGTTATAAATTTATGGATTTGTTTTGTTTCTTTTGCGGTTTTCAAAATTTTGAAGGGGTTTGAAGACGTTACTTGAAAATCTAAGAATTCATTGATGCCAAGGACCATCCTAAATTGTACATTGCAAGCCTCAATTTTAAAGGTAACATTTTAGTGAATTTGTTTATAAAGACTTGAGTTCAAGTGGGTAGCATACAAATTTGGATAAGTTTATATGTTTTCTTGATACACATGAAAATCTATCCTATTATAGCAATACCATTTAAATAGATATGGAATTTTCAATTGATAAGTTTTACTTTTTACTGATGTGATCCATTGAAAAATATCACATATTGAGCATCAATATGAAATCTATCCTATCAGGCTCGATGACCGGGAGAAGCAAAGCGAAATCTGGATTTTATTCACTTTCTTATAAATAATGAAGGCTTCCAAACCCCGCAACCTGGGGAACCTTCTCTAGTTGTTTCTTAATTTGGTAAATGAAAATATATAAAACTTTTATTTTTATTTTGGATGTGTTCGTCAAAACTAACTGGTAACGGATAGCTTGTAGGTGGTAGCATTTTGTTAAATACTACGTGAAGTAGCATTTGCATTTAAAACGTTCTGTTTAAACTAAATGCTAGAAGCTTGTATTGTCAAACGAGTGTTCAAAATGGAATGTTTTGTCGAACTTTAGAAGTTAGAAGTTCTCAAACGTTCCCAAACGTTTTGTGCTAACACACATTTTGTATTAATAAAAATAGAGTAAAGAGATAGAGTTTCACTTCGGAGGTGAAACAATTTTAATTTTTTAAAATTATATGTGATGATTTTGCTAGAATTCAAAGTTTAAATGTAAATATGCTGATAAAACAAAGGTGATATAAAAAAAAATAGATTGCATCATATGTATGGTGCATATCGATCATGTTCTAAATCTCATTATATTGTATCAAAATGTGGAGCACTAACGATATTTTGGTCACGTCAGGTTTTCAACTGCGGATCTCTTCTACGTAATTTCATAGATTTACCAGGAGGCTCCCATCGTAACGAGATCAAAGGTGATATTAAGGTTTAGGTTTGGTGGCTATATATTTTCAAGAGTTGATACACAATTACATTCTCAAATTGGTCAAAATCAAGAAAAGAAATCGTCAAATTATCAAAAAAAAAAAAAAAAATCAAAACATGTCCGGTATATGAATAAATAAAAACTAAAGAATGAAAATATATGATGGTAAATTAAATTCCCTAATTTTCACTATTTGTATAATATTTGATGTGTATTTAGCATAAAATAGATTAGTATTTGCTATTTGGTGATAGTTATTCATTTTTAAATAAATTATTCTATAATTTAGGATTCCCGATAATTTTAATTTAGACCGATTAATCTTTTAGCCTCAGACGATCGACTGGTTAACCCTAGCGATTTTTACATCCTTGATTACGACTTATGATTTCTAAATTGTTTTACAATATTATATGTCATATTAAAAATAAAAAATGTGTTAGTATTTAATATTTAATTCTTAGAATGAAAAATGTCAATATAGTTTTTAGTATATACAATAATGATCTTGATTAATTTATCATGAAATTTGGATAATATGATTTTTATATGGTAATAATTAAATTTATGTAATTTTTGTTGCAAATTAAAATTCTCTTGATATTGTTAGATATTGAAATTATTAAAAATTTGAAGTCATTTTTTATGAGATTGTGATCGGATTTCGGATAATAAAATTCCAACGGGTAAATTTTAACGTATTAAGATCATAAATGTGATACTTAGACTACTTACGTTCACAACTAAAACCAAATCAACCATTTAGTAAAATATTTTTTAATTTTCATCTATATACGTAACCAACCAAAACAATTTTTATCAACTCCATTAACAACTCAAAGAAATCCAACATTTTATTATTATAAAATAATTAGTACTATACAATAACATATCAATATTGGTTTTTATTTATAGAGAAAAAAATTATAAATATGGGTCAATTTTTATATATTTTTTTTAAAAAGATAAAACTTAGTTTAATATTTATAAGATTTATTTAAGAAAAGAAAAGACAAAAAGCAATTGAAAGTCCAAGACAAATGTTCACGACTAAGTTTGGTGGACCCGCCCTTTCCCTCTTTAGTTGACTAGTTTTCTTTATTTTTCATTTTCTTTTAATCTATTTTTGACGACCAACTAGAAAAATGGTCACCAATAGGAGTAGTCTTAATACCTTTAGGTGTTCCCATAAACCCGCCAAGTATTTACTTATTGGATACCAAATGGAACTTATCGGGTACCAAATGGAACGTAGATACGACCTTCAATCGTCAATCCCGTCTTATCCTTAAATAGAGAAGTGATTTGTACACAACAATTTTTCTCCATACACAACAATTTTTCTCCATACATAACAATTTATGCTTTATGGTGTAACATCCAGAATCCTAAGG